GGAGGAGGAGCAGGAGGGCAGCGAAGAAGGCGGCGAACCCCCTCGCGCCTCAGCTGGCCGCCCTCCCCCTCGAGCCGCCCGCCGCTCCCAGCAGGCCTCTGCAGCAGGCTGGCCTCGCCTGCGCCCGCGTGCCCCCCCCCCCCCCCCTGGTGCGAGGCCGTGCTCACGTTGTGCACCCCTCTGGTCAGGAGGGACAAAACCACAGACACTATGAATCGTCGATCCCCCAGAAGATATGGGAAAATATGGGAAGTGGGAGGGAAACACACAACCGAGAAAAAAATAGAAAATATGGGGAATCCTGTTATTTGTGTGTGTGTTTATTTGTTTGTGTGTGTATGTCCCAGGGCCTCTTCATTTGAGCTCGCCGAGTCTCGGCAGTGGGGCGCTGCGAGTGCGTGGTGCGGCCCTGGGGGTGGGGGCTTCGGCATTGTGAAAACTCTGTCTGGCCCGTGCCCTGGGCCGCCCGCGCCTCTCTCTCTCTCTCTTTCTCTCTCGTGGGGATCGCGCATGTTGGAAGCCCTGCGCACTCCTCGCGGGGCCGATTCTCTGTTTCGGTGGGGGCGCTGGTGAAGGACGGTCCCAGGCGGCTTCAGACCCTGCGGGGTTCCTTATCTGATGAGGGCGGCAGCGGTGTCCGTGGCCGATCCACGGTTGGAGTTCCACCGACTTCCAGACCCTGGACTCCTTACAGTCATCGGCCTGACCTAAGGAACAATGAATAAGGAACGACGCCCCTTTTTTATCCCGAGGAATGACGCATAAGGAAAGATAAATAATACATAACGCATAAGGAACTGTAAATAGCACATGTAAACCTGAGGAACGGCCGAGCCCCTTTTGAAAAGTACGTGTTCCTTATTTCAGCCGCTTGCTGTATCCAAAGTTTCTGTTTCCCATACCCCCGCCGTACAGCCAACCCGCATAGTAAGGATGGGCGACCTTCCCAAGAGTACCCTTTCATCCTTGCCCCTTCGCCGACCGCCCTCGCGGCCAGCTGGCCAAAGCAGTCTGGGGGGTGGTTGTGGAGGGCGGGCCATCGGGGGTGGTGATGGAGGGCGGGCTTGCTCCCCTCCTCCAGGAGGGGGGGCTCCGCTAGGGGGCCACATGCGAACCCTACCCCTACCCCTCACGATTTCTGAGGGGGAGAGTGGGGTTCACCGAGCGAAGTGAACCCCACCCTCCCCCTCAGAAATCGTGGGGGGTAGGGGTAGGGTTCGCATGTGGCCCCCCATCCGCGCGCAACGGGCGCGGAGGGCTTGGGGAACCTCGGGCGTGCGTCCCGTGTTGCGCCTCGTGCCACGACAGGCCTGCGCCGCGGTGGTGCGGCGGGGGGCCCTCGCACGGGGCCGGCGTCAGGCGAACATCGAAAGGGAAGAAGAAGAAGAAGAAGAACAAAAAAAAGCCATGCGCATAAACATGTTGGCGCTCCGCGCGGGCTTTGTGGATCCGCGCTGGGCCCTCCCCGGCGGCGCCTCTAGCGCCCGCCCTGGTGCGCGTCGTGCGCCCGGGAGGGGGGTCCAGCGCAGCTCCAAGAAACCCGCGCGGAGCGCCCAAAAGTTTTTAAGTCCAGGGCGTCGAATTTCATCCTCTTGGCGCCCAGCTGACCTCGTGCTTGCTGGCGAGGCGGGGCCCTCTGCCCCGTGCGGCCCGAGGGCGGGCCTGGGCCCGGGGCGACCTTTGCGCAGGTGGATGTTGCAAGAGCAGAAAATAGTTAAAACGTAGTCTAAACGAGATAAAACATAATAGACAATCGCCCCCTCCTTTCTGACGATTTCTGATTATTCCCCCTGGAGAGGGTCATGCCCGACTTCAGCCAAGATCCCCATGGGCACAAATTGTTCCCAAGCGGCCTCCGCGGCGGCTCGACGGCCCACCGGACGTCAAGTGCCCGCGTGGTTCTTCCGAGGCTGGTGGTTGGCCACCTCAGCGCGCCCCTGGGATTAAGTCGGGCACGTCCCTCTACCAGCGGAGCATTCAAACGTGAGAGAAATGTATGGGGACGACTGTTCTACTGCGTTTGATCATGTAGGGGGGTATGCCCGACCTAAGGCTGGTGGTTGACCACCTCGGCGCGCCCCCCGGGCGGTGGCGTGAGCGGCAGACGCGCCACCCGCCTTAGGGGTGCCTCGGGCTGTGGCGAGGGCGGGGTGTCGCGTACCACCCGTCCGAGGTGTGCAGGTGCATTTGGACGTCAACCAGTCCGCAGCGCTGCGTCCAGGAGAAGTACCGTCGGCCCGGATGAGTACAGTCGGGGCCTTGAAGAAGGAACGCTTTTCGTTGGGGAGGGGCTCGGTGTTCCTTGAGTGTTCAGCAGTTTGCCTCGGGTTTTCCCAAGGTTTTCGATGGGACATCGAAGTTTCACTTATGGAGAAAAGGGACCTCGTTCCTTATTTAGGGTTCCTTAGGTCAACGCCCCGACTGTAGGTGGACCCAGCGAGGTCAAGGGTGCCCTCGTGTCCTGTGTCTCGCGGCCCATGCTTCCAACATTCCTGTGGCAATGCGGCCCTCGGAAAGGTCTTGTATCCTCTCGCGTGTCCTGTCCAATCGAGTCCGATCGTAGCGGGTAGGAGGCCAGAATAGCCCCAGGACGCGCGTCGACGATTCTGCGGTACACTCGGCGGCGAGCGAGGGGCGGGACTTCTCAGAAGCCCTCGCGCCCTCTGAGCAGTGCTCCATGTCTTCGGGGAAGGCTTGGACAACTGCTCAGGAGGCCGGGGCACTTCCGAGGCTTCTGAGAACGCCCGCCCCTTCTCTCTTCCCCCCCCCGCTCGCCGCCAAGCGTCAACGATTCTGCGATACACCCTCCCGTCCTCAGTCCCCATCCTCAGATGTCCCCACGGGCGTCCCTGCCCACCGCGACAGGCACCCGGCTCGACAGACGAGGCGTCCGACGGGCCTGCCGTCTTCGGGCGAGGGGCCCGCTTTTGAGAGAGGAGCTGCCACGACGAGCGCAGGAGAACCGAGCAAATGAAGGACGAATTCGTCGATAGCCCCGCGTTGGAACGGGACTGCGCCCTGGCAGCGCCCGCGGCTGCGCCCCGGCCCCGGCCCCGGCCGCTGCCCTGGCTGGCCTCTCCGGCCCGCTCACCGCGGAACTCTTCCACGTCTGAGCGCTTTCCCCCTCCCCCCCTCGCGGGGCCGCCCTCGTCTTCGTCTCTCTCTCTCTCTCTCGCACGTCGGGCGATTTGCCCACTGGTTGCCCCGATGAGCCCCACGCTGGTGCGGTCTGCCTCTGTCTCGCCGCCGACGAAAACGTGTTGGAACGGGACTTCCTTCCAGCCAGGTACTTGTTGCACAATGTTGCACGTCGGGTCGGCGTGTGGGACAAAGTTCCGGGCGATGGCCAAGTTTTTCCGGTTTCGCAATGTAGCACTTCGGGCTGTATGGTTTGAAGCCGTCTCGAGCAAGATCTTTCTCTTGAAAACGAGCAGTCCGCCATTCGTGTATACGTTGCTCAACTTTCCACCTCGGGCCGTAATCTGTCAGGAGGTCTCAAGCAAGAACCCTTTTCGAAGAAGGAACCGCCCTCCATCCTTGTGACTGTGCGAGATTTGCGTGTGACATGTGTACGGCGCCACGGCGAGCGCCACAGTTTGAAAACGCCCCCCCGCCCATTGTCATGATCGTTGGAAACGTTTAAAGACGAATGCGCACGACCCCGAGGCGAGGGTCACAGTTCGAACATGTGCCGCCCTCCGCCTGTGCAAAGTGCTGGGTTTGGTCTGAGCTCTAGGAGCTTGCATGGTGAGGAAATACTTCAGGTGCCACGAAGACCGCCCTGTTGACACGTCTGGTGACGCGACGTTGGGGAGCTACTGACAAAGAAACTGGATGGATGAGGACGAGGGAGAAGGAGGAGGAGGAGGAGGGAGTAAGACGAGAAGGAGGAGGAGGAGGAGGAGGAGGACGCTGGCCCCTTTCCAGCTCCTTCGCCGCGTCCTCCTTTAAAGGAGTTCCCTCCTTGTCCTCACCCTCCTCCGCCCCCTCGAAGGTTCCCGGAGCCCTCCATCCTCTGCAGTCTGCTCTGGCCTTCTTGCCGCTCTGGGGCACGAGGTGCCCGAGCACCCGTCCAGTTGTCGTGCCCCTGCCCGAGCCAGTCTGCGTGACCCCAGGTGGCGTCCAGGGGCCCCACGAATGCCTCAAAACGTTCGAGCAGTCCTCCTCGAACCTTCTCTTTCTCCACCCCCTTGCTCCACAGACCTCCTGGGTCCTCCAACCTCCTCCGTTCTCAAGCCTCCTCGAGGCAGCGGAGAGGTCGGCATGCCACCCGCCCCACGTAAGCGAGAGGGGGGGACGGGCAGGGAGTGAACGAAGAGGAGCACGCTGGGCGGGGTGCTTCCGAGGAGGGGACAGGTCAGGAACTCTTGCCGCGCGTGTCGCTCCGCCAGGTCTGGCCCACCACACCTCGGCGCGACACGCGAACCACGCCCTAGCCTGAAGTTGGGCGTGTCCCTCTACAGGAGGAATATTCACATATATGTATACATATATATATATATATATATTAAAAAAAACTTGCCGAGGGACGATTTCTCGAGAATGTGTGGGCATTTGTTGGCTATGTTTCGAGTATGTTCGATCTGTCCTTCAAAATCCGCCTGCAGTAGGACATGCCCGACCTGACCCTGGCCTCAGCGCTCCGAGCCTCCCCCGCAGTGCGAGGCGGGACGGCACGCTGTCCGCTCGCACGGCACGGCGTGTCGCTGGGGCCGCCCGCCGCGGCACGCCGAGGAAGGGTGCCTGACCGCAGGGCTCCCGCCACCTCATCATCCGCCTCCTTCCTCGCTCCTTTTTCTTCCTTTTTCCTTCCTCCTCCTTCCTCCTCCTTCCTCCTCCTCCTCCTCCTCCTCCTCCTCCTCCTCCTCCTCCTCCTCCTCCTCCTCCTCCTCCTCCCCCTCTGCGGAGCGCAACCGGCCAGCTGCCTCGACATGCAGGCGTGGCTCTGGTCGCCCCGCGCGCGCAGGCGCCCCGCCTCCCCGCGCCCGCCCGCGGGGGCCATGCTGTCGAAGCCCGCGCCCTCCCCGGCGCGCCCGCACGCGTGCTCGCCGAACCTGTGGGAGCTGCCGGCCGTCCTGGCCACGGAGGCCCCCCCCCCGAAGTGCCTGCCGAGGGCGAGGGGCAGAGCGGGCGGAGGGGGAGGGGGAGGAGGAGGAGGAGGAGGAGGAGGAGGAGGAGGAGGAGGAGGAGGAGGAGGGGGGGAGGAGAGGGGCGAGGAGGGGAGGGGGAGGGGGAGGAGGAGGAGGGAGGGGCGAGGAAGGGGAGACGGAGGGGGAGGAGGAGGGAGGAGGAGGAGGGAGAGGAGGAGGAGGAGGAGGAGGAGGAGGAGGAGGAGGAGGAGGAGGAGGAGGAGGAGCGGGAGGAGGAGGAGGGGGAGGAGGAGGAGATCCCCGCGGGCTTCTTCGACGGCGCGGCGCCCCTCCGGCGCCGCCCCCCCCACGGCGCCGCCATGGCGCGCCCGGGGAGCGCGCCAGGGAGGGGGGGGTCCGGCGCCGATGCTGATGGGCCTGTTTCCAACCACCACCACCACCATCAGTTGGAGGAGGAGGAGGAGGAGGAGGAGGAGGAGGAGGACCAAGAGAAGGAGGAGGAGGAGGAGGAGGAGGAGGAGGAGGAGGACGAAGAGGAGGAGGAGGAGGAGGAGGAGGAGGAGGAGGACCCCCTCCCCCTCCAACTTATGGTGGCGGTGGTAGTGGAAAACAGGCCCATCAGATCCAAGAAGTCCGGGCGGACCTCCGAGAGGTGATTCATACCGCGCATGTCCTTTGGGTGAGGGGCAAAGGGTGACATCTGAAGTGCCGTTTCGATTGATGTTCGAGGCTTGAATTTGGAAAAGGTGAAGCACACAACGCATTGATTTTCGCGGTGCAAAAGCCCATATGGGTTTCACCCTGAGCCGTTCACTTTAAGAAATGCTCAGGTATAGGTATTTCATTGTTGCCCCAAGGAGGGCAACGATCGTCTGGGCCTCCCTACCAATCGGTCGTCGAAAGTAGTTATTTACGGATTCCCATATACCTACTTTGAGCGCCCTCCTAGATCGAGTGGCTTCACCGTTTCCGCCCTCCTTAGGGGGCGGGCGGAAGCCCAATCTACTTTCAACGCCTTCATACTTCATGTTTCTACCTACTTCTTCGGACCAATGAGTAATAAGGCCAGAGCAAGTGGGTTCGGAGGATCGTGCCGCATCGCTAATGCATCGGCGATTCGGCTCGGTGTGTAGCTCGATCTTATACACGCCGAGATCGCCGATCCATCGCCATGCATCCTCGATGCGTCGCGATCCTCCGACCCCATTTGGTCGAACATATTGTGGCAGACCCGCAGACGGGCCCTCACCACACAAGGACGACGATCGGGGGGTCGAAGATGGCCTTGGCATCGCTCGGACGTGTGCGTTTTTTTTGGCGAGGACAATCGAAGAGCATCCTAAATTATCAAACGCACGAAATCGAAATGTCTTGATCCGCGGGTCGAGAGCGCACCTCTTCCGGTCGAAGCTAAGCGAGCCGCGCACAGCTTGAATTGACGAGAGGTGGGCAGAAGGAGGGGCCTCACATCAAGGCCAGGATGGGGCAAAGCCCCGGCAACAGGCTGTGCCGAGGACGACGATCCACGAAACCGAGACGTGCAGGGGGAATGAGCGTCCGAGCGATGGCAAGTGGCTGGGTCGGACGAAGTGGGCAGGATGGGGACGACAGGGGGCGGTACGCAATCTGATGGTTGCAGCCAGTCTCGGCCCCGCCGCGCAGGCGCCCCCGACCACAGAAGGACAGCGATTGGGGGTTCCAAGATGGGTCGGGGGATACTCCAGATTTCGTAATAAAAGGGAGGGGGTCTGGACCCTCCAAGACAAGCCATTTCAGACCTCCCCCGTGGGAGAACCCTCCAAAACATCGTCCCCAGACCCCCCAGGCCCTCCAAGATAGCCTGGAAGAGACCCCCCCCCCCGAAATGAGACCCCCCGCCCTTTATCACGAAATCTGGAGTACTCGATGCAAGAACTCGGGGTTGCCGCCGCTCCTCGACGATCCCAGCTTGAATGTTTACGGTTCATTCTTGGGTGAGGTGTTTGCAGCGGGAGGTCGGGGTGAATTTCGGGTGGCCCAGTCAAGCGAATCCGAGTCCATTCAACCTTGGCTGCGTCTCCCTTGGGCTTGCGCGGATGTGTGCCAGCGAGTATTCCGGGTCTCGCCTTGCGGCGGGTTCCGAGTTGTTTCTTGCACGCCAGGAAGTTGCCAGATGCAGCGGGAGAAGCCGAAGAATGAAGAGTGTCTTGACCCATCGGTGCAGCTTCCTCGAACTTACCATCGTCCTGCTTCATCAACGTCTCCGTTTACGGGGCCCTGACCAGGCGGTACGAATTACAACCAACCCGTCATCTCAATCCTTACCTAGGATTACAACCGTGAAGCGTTTTAACACTATCCAGAAATCACATCGAATTCTTGCTTGTAAAGGGGTGTGTTGGGAGGCAATATAAGTGCCAGAGTTGGAAGTGGTACATATCAGTGTGCTGTATTACATATATGAGCTGTGCAGTTTCCAAATTCACAGCGATACGTTTCCAGACGGAGGCTCTAGGTTACCGCATGAGAGCTGGATAGGTTTCGTATGACTGCAGTATGAGTTTCATGGCTTCCAATTCGCACATGAAGATTGTATAACTTTCGTTTGAGACCTGCGTAGATTTCACAACCGACAGGTATTGTTTTCATATGAGGTGCGCGTACGTCCATCAGAAAACTGCGAATTTTCAAATGTTAATCAGCGCGGGCCCCAACCCAAGCAGTGATTTAGTACAACATGTGCGTTCCAACCTAGGTGGTGCAATCAATGTGGCGCAATCTAGCTGGAAAATGCATGGGAGTCACAGGATAATTGCAGTTAGGTGTCATGTGAGAAGCGTACTTATTTTGGTGCGGCTTGCAGTTGGTTCGGACGAAAGCTGTGTTTGGTTGCGCGTTGGAATTCGAACGCTTTGATATGGGGAGGTGCGTTGGTCATTGAATTGTATCGTTGTCCTTTGAGACTGTCTAGCTTCACAGGGGGATGTGTATAGCTTCCACATGACACATGGTACATGTTTAGCTTTCATGATTTTAGGACAAGTTCATCTGATAGTCGACGGCTGCAGCAGCGATAGAGATGACTCCCTCAACGACCTCTCGAGGCGGTTGGGACTGGTACTGCAATGATCCGAATATGTCCGGAACGGTTGGAATCCATGACAGTTGGTGATCGTTTTCTTATTCTTTGTTTTGCCGATCGGCGCGGGCCCTCGCCCCCCCCCTCCATCCCCCCTCATGGAGTAGATCTTGGCTGTTTTTGGCGCCTGTTTCGAGCAGGTGGAGTCACCCCCATAGGGCGCACTGCTGCAAATAGTCGCATTATAAGCAGTGAGGTCCGGAGCCAGACGCCCCCCTTCCCCCCTGCCGCCCAATGTCGAAACGCCGAAGAAGGAAACGTTCACAAGGTCAGGACCCCCGCCCCCGGCAGGGCTCATTACGACTCCTCCGATTCGATTCGATTCGACTTCGATGGCTTCCGATTTCGATTCGATTCGATTTGGGATTCCGATTTGGGCTCCGATTATTTCTTGGAGGCATACTCGCCTGCCGATTTCCGCCGATTCGACTTTTCCCGACTCGGCTGCCGATTTCCGCCGATCCGATCCATTTCGATTGCCGATCCGACTTCTCGATTCGATTCGGGGCTCTCCTTGCTTGGCGTCGCGTCTTGGATGGGGGAAGGAGGAGGAGGAGGAGGAGGAGGACGAGGAGGGGGAGGAGGGGGAGGAGGGGGCGGAGGAGGAGGAGGAGGAGGAGGAGGAAGAGGAGGAGGAGGAGGCGGAGGCGGAGGCGGAGGAGGAGGAGAAGGGGGAGCGGGCGTGGCTTGGCATCCCTCGGACACGTGCCTCCCTGGAGATCCGACGCCCCGACAAAGATTATCCCAGTGCGACCCTACCTAGGAGTTGGAGCTCCTAGGAAAGCAGCATTAGTAGTAACAGTAAGGCTAAGCTAAAGCTAAGCTAAAGCTAAGCGAAAGCTAAGCGAAAGCTAAGCTAAAGCTAAGATAAAGCTAAGCTAAAGCTAAGCTAAAGCTAAACTAAAGCTAAGCTAAAGTTAAGCTAAGCTAAAGCCAAGCTAACGCTAAGCTAACGCTAAGCCAAAGCTAAATTGAAGCTTGAGCTAAAGCTTGAGGTAAAGTTAAGCTAACGCTAAGCCAAAGCTAAGCTGAAGCTTAAGCTAAATCTTGAGGTAAAACTAAGCTAAAGCTAAGCTAAAGCTAAAGCTAAGCTAAAGCTAAGCTAAAGCTAAGTTACAGCTAAGCTAAAGCTAAGCTAAAGCTAAGCTAAAGCTCAGCTAAAGCTAAAGCTAAGCTAAAGCTAAAGCTCCCAGGGGACTGGGGGAACCACTGGGCGGGGACTGGGGGAGCCGCCCGGGGCGCTTTCCACTGCCCGGCCCCTTTAAGCTAGAGAGTACGAACCCTTCTATAGGCAGAGCCTAGGTAGGGAAAAATGAAATGGTTCGACTCCTCGCTTCGCTTCTGGGCCCCCTCCCGCCGCCCCCCGGCGAGGTCCGCAGGGCCCAGCGCGCCGCGTCGGAGCTCGCGGCGGCGGCGGCGCGGCGGCTGCCCGCCCCCGGCCAGGCCCGGCGGGCGCCCGCCGCGCCCGTCGCGGGGGGAGGGGGGGGCCGCCGCGCCCCCGTGCAGGGGCCCCGGGGGGCAGTCAAGAGGCCCCCAGATGCCATCGTTGTCTTATGCTTATGATGCTCCAACCTACCTTGGCCTTGACCACCAGAAAGACTTTCGAGCGCCAAAACAAGAGTACCGAAACTCAAGGGTTTTCACGTGTCGGGCCCTGGGAGACACTCGCCCGCCGCGCCCCCGTGCGGGGGCCCCGGGGGGGCATCCCGAGGCCACCAGATGAAGTCGGGCCTGTCCCCCTACAGGTGGATGTTCGACGAGAAATGAGACACACCCCCAAAATAGTCCAACAGTAGTCCAAACATAGTCCGGGGATTGTTTTTTGGAGTGTTTCTCGACGTTTTTAAGGTATGTTTGGGGTATGTTTTTTTTTTCGTCGAAAATCCCCCTGTATAAGGCCCGACCTAACCCCAGATGTGATCGTGTTCTTATGCCTTGGTTTACCGATGGGCGCGGGCGGCCCTCGCCCCCCCCCCCCCCCCCCTACCCCCCCTCTCATGGAGTAGATCTGGGCTGTTCTTTGGCGCCTGGCTCGAGCAGGTGGAGTCTCCCCTCGTAGCACCCAGCTGCTGCAAGCAGTCGCGCTGAGCAGAGGTCTGGAGCCAGACCCCCCTCCCTACTTTGGCCTTGGCCACCAGAAAGAATCTCGAGCGCCAGAGAAAGTACCGAAGCTCAAGGGTTTTCACGTGTCGGGCCTGGGGAGACACTCGCCCGACATTGTTTCGACACTGTTTCGACACTCTTTTGACACTTTTCCGGGTGCCCCCAGATGTGATCGTTTTCTTATGCCTTGTTTTGCCGATGGGCGCGGCGTCCCTCGCACCCCCCCGCCTCCCCCCCCACTCATGGAGTAGATCTGGGCTGTTCTTTGGCGCAGTCTCCCTTCGCCTGCAAGCAGTCGCGCTCAGCAGAGGTCTGGAGCCGGACCCCCCTCCCCCCTCCCCCTCCCCCTGCCGCCCACTGTCGAAGCGCCGAAGAAGGAAGCGTTCACAGGGTCAGGGCCCCGCCCCCGGCAGGGCTCATTTCGGCTCCTCCGATTCGATTCGACCCCGATGGCTTCCGATCCCGATTCGATCCGACTCGGGATTTTCCGATGTGGGCTCCGCTGGAGGGCCCAGACCCACTCGGGCCATGAGGCAACCGCGGCGGGAGGCTCCTCGTTTTTGCTCGGCCTCCGGCGGGTCCTCGCAGGGCCCGGGGGCCGTGAGGACACGGCTCGGGGCGAGGAGCCGGTCCCGGGGAACGGGTCGACGTTGTTGGAAGGTCGACGTCATTTGACAAGGTCGACGGAATTGGCCCAGGACTTCTGGAGGTCGACGTTGTTTGAAAAGGTCGACGTTAACTATTTGAACATAAAACATGGCGTCGGGGGTATGGGAAATGGCGCCGCATCGCCGATGCATCGCCGATGCGGCTCGATGTGGAGAGTGATTTTCTCCACGCTGGAGTCGCCGATGCGGTTCCGACGTCGCCGATGCGTCGCCGATGCATCGCCGGTGCATCACCGATGCATCGCCGTGTATCGGCAATGCGGCGCGATCCTCCGACCCCATGTACTCCGACCCCATCTAGGAGGCCTCTAAAAAGATCAGAGGAGGAAAAGGTACCCATTACCTCTACCCTTCGCCCGTTTTTCCCTGTTTGGACCTCCTGGGAGGCGAGGCCCTCGTCGCAACCGCTGGATTCGTCTCGAAAGTCTGGTCAGAACGCACCCCGGAAGAGGTCCGCGGCGTAGCGGTATCGGCACCCTCTGTGGTTTCCTCACTAGAAGGGCGTACAGTGTTCGATCGGTCCTCCTCGATCCCTCTCTCGGCGGCGAGCGAGAGGGGGCCAAGGGGCAGGAGAAGGCCGTCGCAGAAGGCGGCGGGACTTCTCAGAAGCCCTCGCGCACTCCGAGGAGTGCCCCGCGACTTCGGGGAAGGCTCAGAGAACTTCTCGGGAGGCCCGAGGGAGGCAAACTAACCGTAGTTTTCGATGTAAATTATCCACCGGTTTCCTTTCAATTCGTGTCTTCTTATTTTGCTTTTCTGCTTCTAGTTTCTTCTTATTTATTTATCTTCTTCTTCTGGCTCGCAGTTTTGTTTTCTCTTTTTCTTGTCTTACGTTCTCGGATCTTTCTACTTCCGAGCCTTCTGGGGAGGCCTGGATCCTTCGGATCTTGGCGCTGCACTTGTCTTTTCCAACACGCGTTTTTGCGCCCGGCTCGGGGCCCGGGACCCTCACAGGTCGAGCCGCCTCGCAAAAGGACCCTGGATCAGGTCGGGCCTGTCCCCTTGCAGACGGATTTTGGACGAAATACGCCCAACTAGTCAACAAAGTACGCCCCAGTAGTCAACATAGTTAAAAAAGAGAGCGCCCAACGAGGCAAGCAGAGTTTTCAAGCACACAACGTCCCCGGACTATTTTTTGGCTATGCTTGAAGATCCCTCCTGCAGAGGGACATGCCCGACTGGGCCCTGAGAGATGGGGTTTCGGGGCTCCGGTGGTGATTCTGCTGGGGCAGGCAGGCAGGCCGACCGAGTCAACGCTCGGCCCGGAGTCGGGCGCGGCTGTGGTCACGTCGGACGTGTCCCTCGACAGGCTCGGCATCGCTCGAGCGTGTGCATCTTTCCTCGATAAGGGCCATCGAGGAGCATTTTTGTTCCTCGTGCGAAAAAAAAAGACACGCACGACACCGAAAAGTGCACAGGGAATGGACGTCCGAGCGATGGCGAACAAGGGGAAGATTCAAGAACAGTGAAAACATAGTCTGGGGTCAATTTTTTTAGACATTTGTTGGGTGTTTTGTTTTTTCGTCCAAGATGCGCTTGTAGGGGGACATGTCCGATCTGAGAATGTGGCGACCTCGAGCATCACTGCTGGCGCTCGAGTGAAAAAGCGCACGAAATCGCTTCCGTGAAGAAGATCATCGTGCAATGACGCCTCTGGCCAGTCTGATCCATAGAAATCGTACGAACATCTGCGCAAACAAGTGACACGTGTGCCATAGCCCTTGCACAAAAAGGAAGGGGGAGGAGGAGGAGGAGGAGGAGGAGGAGGAGGAGGAGGAGGAGGAGGAGGGGGGGAGGGGGAGGGGGGGGAGGAGGAGGAGGAGGAGGAGGAGGAGGAGGTGGAGGTGGAGGAGGAGGGGGGAAGAGGGGGCAAGGCATCGCCCTCTGGGCCCAGCAACGGGGCCCAAGTCCCAGGTGGGGAGGGTGGGGGAGGCGGCGTGCGTCGCGACGCGGCATAAAGTGCTCGGAGCGGAGGGAGCACGGGGCGGAGGTCCCACTGGGGCGCTGGGGGCGCGGAGAGGAGGGGGGGTGGTGTGTGCCGCGACGCGGAATAAACTGTCGGGGCGGAGGGGGCACTGGGCGGGGCTTGGGGCAGAGGGCCACGGGGCGGGGGTCCAACTGGGGCGCTGGGGAAAGGGGGGGAAGGGGGGGAGGTGGCGTGCGTCGCGACGCGGAATAAAATTGTCGGGGCGGAAGGGGCACGGGGCGGAGTCCCCACTGGGGCGCTGGGGACGCGGGGAGGGAGGTAGGTGGTGTGCGGGCGGGGCGGAGGGGGAGGGGCAGAGCCCCCACTGGGGCGCTGGGGACGCGGGGAGGGAGGTGGGGGAGGCGGTGTGCGGCGCGACGCGGGATGAAGCGTTAGTGGCGGAAGGGGCAGTGGGCGGTGCCCCCGCTGGGGCGCTGGGGGCGCGGGGGGCTCGGGGCAGAGAACCACGGCGCGGGGGTCCCACTCTGGCGCTGGGGACGCGGAGGGGGGGGGTGCGACGTGTAATACAGCGTTCGTGTCGGAGGGGGCAGTGGGCGGGGGCCCCGCTGGGGCGCTGGGGACGCAGTGGGGCTTGGGGCAGAGAGCCACGGCGCAGGGGTCCCACACTGGCGCTGGAGACGCGGGGGAGGGGGGGGAGCTGCGACGCGGGAGAAACCGTTCGTGGCGGAGGGGGCAGTGGGCGGGGCCCCCGCTGGGGCGCTGGGGACGCGGTGGGCTCGGGGCAGAAAGCCACGGCGCGTGGGCCTCACACTGGCGCTGGGGACGCGGGGGGGCGGGGGGGGCGACGCGGGATAAAGCGTTCGTGGCGGAGGGGGCAGTGGGCGGGGCCCCCGCTGGGGCGCTGGGGACGCGGGGGGGCTTGGGGCAGAGAGCCACGGCGCGGGGGCCCCACTCTGGCGCTGAGGACGCGGGGGGGGGGGGAAGCGACGCGAAATAAAATGGTCGGGGCGAGCTGCTAAAGTTGACGAGGCTGGGCTGCTGCGCGACGACGGAGAATAAAGTGGTCGGGGCGGAGGGGGCGGTGCGCTGGGCTGGGCTGCTGGGGAGAAGGGGGGGGGGGGCGACGACGACGCCGAAATAAAGTGGTCGGGGCGGAGGGGCGGCGCGCTGGGCGGAGAGCGCGCTCAACGCTGAGGGAGAGGGAGATGCGAAATTGGGCGAGGCGACGCCGCAAGGTGGGCGGTGCGCTGGGCTGCTGGGGAAAGCGACACATGTCGACACAACGCCGAAATAGGGCGACGACGACGCCGAAATAAAGTGGTCGGGGCGGAGAGGGCGGTGCGCTGGGCTGCTGGGGAAAAGGACCGGGGGGGGCGACGACGACGCCGAAATAAAGTGGTCGGGGCGGAGGGGGCAGCGCGCTGGGCTGCTGAGGAGAGGGAGAGGGGGGGGGGCGACGACGACGCCGAAATAAAGTCGTCGGGGCGGAGGGGGCGGTGCGCTGGGGTGCTGGGGAGCGACACATAGCGACACATGTCGACACAACGCCGAAATAAAGTGGTCGGGGCGGAGGGGGACAGCGCGCTGGGCTGCTGAGGCGAGAAGGGGGGGGGGGGCGACGACGACGCCGCCGAAATAAAGTCGTCGGGGCGGCGGGGGCGGTGCGCTGGGGTGCTGGGGAGCGACACATAGCGACACATTTCGACACAACGCCGAAATAAAGTTGTTGGGGCGGAGGGGGCAGC